TTACAAAATGCATGTAAAATAGCCTTTGGTCATTTTAGTATAAATGTAGCAAACAGATCACAAGCTACCCATAAAAAATCAACGTGAATATAGCATAGTAAAATTTTTATAGGACTCTTCAGCTTTTTCCATGTTATATACTGTAATTGCAAAACAGACCCCAGCATCTGGATTTCCAGAGAATATGAACGAAGGATTTCTTCCTTGGCTATTATTCCAGCAAAGTCCTTCTTCTGTTTCCCTGAGAAAGGGGTGAGAGAGTAAGCCCAGCTATTTGATGGGATATGGCGTGCTTTATTTTCCTCTATTCATTCTTGGGCCTTAAAATTCTGAATGTCCAAATGCAGGAACATGGGAACTGGGGCCTTTATCAGTATTTTTAAGACATATTTATCATTACAGGATAACCTCATAAGATAGCCTTTTAGGAAAGAACTGAAACTTAATGGAGAGTAGTATTTATCTTGTATGTATTCAATTAACCTGACATAAAAGAAATTGGAGCATTAAAAATCTCTATGTGAAATATACCTTGATGGAAGACAATGAGAGTTTGGCCACTGAACTTCAGTGGCATCAGGATTTCATCCCTAATATAGAAAGAAAACCTGTGTATGCTCAATACATCAAACACTATGATAAGGGAGTAGACATTGTAATATCTATACTAACATATAATTCCCCTTCTCAAAATAAGACCACTGCTTTCATTTATTCTGTGCTATATAAATTATCAGTGCTTCCTTGTATATGTGCCTGCTGTCACTGAACTGGGAGTAATAGGCTGTAATTAGCAGGGAAACTGACCTTGACTTCATTTAGTGATTGCTGTAACAGAGCTATCTCCAGTTCCTGAACAGTTTCTATTTATTTTGTTCATTTTGTTGGTAATTTTCCTTTTTCTAAATTTTTGCACAATGTTTTTTCCTCTCCTGACATTCCTTTCCACAAATGTTGAAGGTTCTTTGCATGGTGAAGAACACTGACCTCTGGAATTCACAGAAGACTGTACAATAGGAATGTAATATATAACTTTCATGGAAATTGACCTGTATAACTTCTATAAATACAATTGTTACTAGAATGCATACCACACACTTCATAGAAAGGACCCTTGAGGCTTGATTCACTTCTCATTTGCACTGGTATAAAATCAGCCTTTGATTTCAGTGAAAGAGAGGAGCAGGCTATTAATACAGATCTGCTCAATTGTAGTTTTACCACAGGTGTAACTTATTTTGATTTGTCCACTAAATGGCAATACACCAGTGACTGCACATACACCAATTTTTCTGGAAAAGTTGCTCAACAGATTAGAGATATTTCTATTTGTTTTTCTCTATAAAATAGAGGAACATTTTTTTTCTTAAAGCATAGCATGCAGCTGAATGTTTCACTGTGACTTGACATTATTACTGTTGCGTAGCAGACACTACCCTGGAAACTTAGGTCTCATTTACATCCCACTTATGCTTCACTTATCTCAGTTTTTGTACAAGCACAGATAAGATGATACTGCTAGTGTGGCATACTTGTTAAGGTTTTGCTAATAGCTGGCATTATAACAGTATTTCTATTGATCTTAGAAAGATGGATCAGATACAAACAGAACTAACCCCAAGTTATAGCTACTGGCTGAAGATGAATGCCACAGCAACCTTGGATTTTTAATTAGAGATCTTTTACTAATCTCAGTTCTTAAAAGCCACAGAATTATTGCATTTAAATAGATTTGGCTTATATTAGTTCTGAACAGCGACTTGGATGAGGGGGTAAAAAGCACCCTGTTCAAATTCACAGACGACACTAAGATGTGGGGAGAAGTGGGCATGCTAGAAGGGAGGAATAGGCTGCAATCAGACCTAGACAGGTTACAGGGGTGGGCGGATGAGAACAGGATGGGTTTCAACACTGACAAAGGCAAGGTACTGCACCTGGGGAGGAAGAACCAGCAGCATACCTACAGGCTGGGGAACTCCCTTCTCATCAGTGCAGAGGCAGAAAAGGATCTTGGAGTCATTATTGATGCCAAAATGAACATGGGCTGACAGTGAGGGGACACGGTCAGGAAAGCCAATCGTACCTTGTCATACATCCACAGATGCATCTCAAGCAGGTCCAAGGAGGTGATCCTCCCCCTCTATGCGGCACTGGTGAGGCTGCTATTGGAGTACAGTGAAATCCTTTATGTCACCATTACCTAGGCAACACAGTCACTGTCAAATGCCACCTACCCATGTGGGAAGAGACGCAGAAAGCTGGCCAGGGCTGAAATTGCTTGTTTGAAATTTTTTTTCTTTTTAATTTAATGGTCCCCAGACTAACTGCAGCTTTAAATAGCAATTTATTCATAGTTGCGCTTTTCTTTTTTTTTCATTTTAAAATAATGACTCTATTATATATTAGATTAAACCCCTCCTCCCCAAACCCATGGTAAAAGAACATTAAGGCTGAAAAGTTGACTAGTCATAATTTAGAAATACTAGATTAAAGTCTGTAGGGTTTTTGGTTGTAGCCATGTTGGTCTAAGGACATAGGCAGGCTAGGTTCTTTGGGTAGATGTAATATCTTTTATTAGACAAACTGAGTAGATGGAACAAAGTTCTTTGAAAGCTTCCAGGCACAAGTACTCTTCTTCAGGCATAGGGAGACTCTGCTGTTGTCCTTGTCAGATCCAGACTTCAACCAGTTGAACTAGAGGCAGTAGTTGGCTGTTTCACTCAACCACAACCACACAAGGTATGAAGGAACTCAGTACTCCAGGGTTCAATGGCCAATGGTTATATAGCTTTTGCTCTGTTCATCCAGCCCACCCGTATCTTCTTTTATTCACTACCCTCTTGGATCCTTGTATTTTCCCTTTCTTTTTCTGAGCTCTTATGTGCTTATATCAAACTTCCATCTCCGTTTCTAACTCCTTTGGTCTTTTGTATGTATCCACACATCCCTCCCATCTTCACCATGCTCTCCCATCCAGATTTCCACACAAATTATTAGAGTTTAAAAATTCTAAGGGTCTGGAAATAGATTCTTATATTTAAAAATGCCAGGCAGAATTGCCAACTTCAAAGAAAAAAGACTTTTTGGTATACCAGGATCAGTTAATCTTTTTATGCCTGGAGTCAAGTTTTCATTTAAAAAGTTTTGGGATTCATTGAAACCAGAGCCATGGAGTTTAAACTTAAATTTTAAATCACTTTTTTATTATTAGTTTGAATTACAACCTTGTTAATGTTTAAATGTATTACTGGTATATGTCATGTAATTATGTTATATTATATATAACATTTGCTTTAGTTATTGAAATCAAGAAAGTTTAAAAATTAGAGATGAAGAAAGGAAATAAATCATTGACTCACAGGTAGGGA